GGAACCGGAAGAAGTTTACTTCCGGGTTTTAGGACACTGCGGTTCTCTATTGCAGATTGTTTATAATCTTGTTTGTAATCATTGTTAGCTAGCTAGCTAACTTCTAAATTGCCTATGCAGGTTCATGTGCTTTTCTTCTCGGCATGTTGGTGCTAAATGTCCATCAGTGTAATCCAACAGGATTGCATATCGCCCTGCCAGATTGCTCAACCCTTTGCATAATACAGTAATAAGGAGGCCGACTTGTAAAATGCACCATAGCACTACAATAGTCAAAAACTCATGATGTCTTAAAGGGGCTTTGAGACCCAAAACACCACTGTGCTAAAAATACATATGGGGCTGTGTTGTGTGGGTTGTGTTGTTTTAGATAGGCCTGCTGGGGAGATGTTGTAACATTATCCAGGAAGGCCGGTTAAACAATGAATCTAAGTGTTAAAAGGCTTTTCAACGTATAAAAACACTACAGTTTATTGCACTACTTTTACAACTCTGACAAGTTATTACAGTGTTAATAATTTTATTCTCCATTACTCATCACTAGGCAAACAGTATAAATACCTGTTTAGCAATCAGGATCCCAGCTATGTCAACACAGCAGCATGATTGACATGAATGTGGCGCGGCCTTTTGATGTGCGTTGCTAATGTGTGTCTCAACACGGCCTTAGGCATACTTCAGATGAAATTGTGTAATGGAAGGAAGGCTTTCATTAAATATAAAATATCTGAATATGTTTTTATGCTATGCCAGTTATTTCGTTTTTGTATAATTTTTAAGATCAAAATCACACTGTGTCGCTAGAAAAACATATTTAAAATGATCTGACTGTTACTTTTCAATGACGATTCAGCCGAGTAACGTTTTTAAAGCTATGGTTGAACAAATTGCTGGTGAAAGGGCAAAGGAGAGAGTGCTGAAAAGAAATTGAGGCGGGGAAGCGAGTAAAGGGGTGGTTGAGAAGGCGGGGCAAGGGCTGTGGTGGCGATGGTGAGGTGAAAGGTCAAAGGTCAGCCCCCCTAGTGATATCTCCTGTGCCAGAGAGGCAGTCACGACCCGGTCAGCGGAGGTTCAGGTGTCAGAGAGAGACGACTGACTGACGAGACCTCTCCTGCGCTCCGTCCCGGTTGGACCTTTCATCCTTCCTTCCCTCCCTCTCGCTGTCACTCCTCCGTGACCCATCCCTCCTTTCCTTCTACCGCTACCGCTCTCTTCACTTTCTGTCTACCCACAGACCCCCCCTAACCCTGTCATCCTCTCATCCTTCTCTCCTTCCTTTCCCCCCACTCACCTTCTTTTTCACCCCTTAAGCTAAACATTACCATAGGGCTTCACTCAGCAGGCCAGGCTGACGAGGGCAGCTCTCTGTGGGGCTGCTTGTCTTCAGTCCACCATCATATGCTCACACGGCTTACAATCACACAGAAACTTTCACATGCTTATAAATGCCCTAGTTGGCAGGAGCACATGTAGCCTACTCTCTACTGCCAATCCTTCAGAATCATTTTTAAGTTAGAAGGGGGAAATTCCAGTTTTTAAATGTTAGGTACTAAAAAATATTTGAGTTGATGCCCTTTATAAACCACTTTTTACCACTGTTTACCACTGTTTACCGATTTTATTGCGAACATTCAAGATTCAAACGCTCTAATTTAATATGCACAATAGCTACAGTGTAGTTATGGCAATGAAAATCTTAAGTCCAAAGCTCCTCCAACATTGTTACATAATATATATAAGACACAACAATAAAGTAAACGAAAACAACTATAAAAATAGTGCAAGAGAATGTTTCAAGACTAATGTGCAAGTAAGATTCTGCTTATGTGGACACCACTAGGCAAACAATATGATCCTGAGCGTAATTTAAGTGTTTCCCTTCTTTAAGAAGTTGTGGGGTTGGTTTAAATGTGCAGGCTCACTGTTTTTCTTCTTAAAAGGGTCAATAAGTAATTTGTGGCTCAACTTGACCTCAATCAGCAACAAAGGACCTGCAACATCAACTGATTAAGACTTCATGTAATGTTAGTTTTGAAGTATGCAGAGTTGAGACACTGCTATGTCCATTAACTTCTAAATACTTAGTCATTGTGTGCTGTGCTTTATTTATTGCAGCTTTAACACATATAGGATAGTCATTTCCATCTTGTGGAGCTCCCATTAAATTAACCTATTGTTGCAGGTGCTGAGGTGTAGCCTTGATGCCTACCATTAACTTGGATGGGATTGAGCTCCCTATTTCATCATCAATGACTATTACAGCACACTATATTGCCAAGAGTTACAACAACATATCAGGGAAACTATGTTTACATGTCAACATACTTTAGGAATATGACTTTTCACAACAGTGGATACTCACAAGTTATTGACTCCTGACCTGGTCGCCAGCCGGAGTCGATAGATTAACCACGGCCGACCTCAGGTCTCGCCAACCACTTGTGATAGGAAGACAAAAAGTAGCTTAGTTATTGATATAAAAAGTATGATGCCACTGACAAAAATGATTTACTTGTAGAAAAAGTATTTGATGCGACAAAACCATCATAAATCTAGTAGCCACTGTATGTACAGTACCTTTCTGAGGAAAAGTTTGTCAGTAGCAATCAGCAGTAGAGTTGTGACGGCTGTCTCCATCACATATTGCTTTAATACTGAAGTGTTCCGGACACAAGCTCTGATCGGTTCAGCGTTCAAACCTGGAACCCAAATCAGAAATGTCCCTATAGATATTTTGGTCAATTTAACTAATTGTACTAGTAATACTGAGCTCTTGACAGTTCTGAGGACCTTTTTCTTAAGGTTACTCTTGCTAACAAACACACTGACAACATCTACTTTGCATTGTTTTGGCTGCACGTGTCTAGGACCATTTGAGGGGGTCTTTGTGGATTTAATTAGCTGCATAAGACCATTAACCAATGATATGCAATGTACCTGCAGTTCTATAATAACGTCAATTAGTTTACCATTTTTGATGGACTATTATACTACAACAATGCATGTTCAATCATGTGATACCATTCTCATTTAAAATACATAGTAGTAATGATGGGGTCTCTCAATGCAATACAATCTTTTAATTTTTTCCCTTCACTTTTTGTGTAGGAAAAATATTTCATAACCATTTCACAGCTGCCAAACGGACCTCACCCCGCAGCTATGGACGAGGTTCTCATCACTCTCTTACTGTCTCATCATCATGTTGACTGGCACGCCTGAGGACATGAGGCAGCCAGACATAGGCACTGGCAGGTATGCACACAGACATACACTTTGGCAGGTGCAGGCTGCACGAAGGGCTGCCAGTCGTTTCTTCTGTGTTGCTTTTCATTAACTTGTCTCATACAATCAAAGACTGTCAGCAAGAGTGACAGAAGGAGAAAGAAAAAGAAGACAAGAAGGAGAGAGAGATTGTCTCCTTCTTTTCACAGATATGACTCTGTGCAGGCAGCTGCATCTAAACTGAAACTTCCTTTTACTCTTGATAACATTGTGTCTGGCCTTCTGAAATGTCCTCGGGCGATATTCCCACACACCGATGTATCACATACACACATGTGCAGGTGAGAAAAATGTAGTGATCGGAGCACAAGTTCTCTGGGTAGCGCACATTCTACAGTGTCAGCTCATCATCTCCAGAAGCGCACACCTGCATGTTCCAAGAAAACATTCAAAGGAAAGTATTACTGTTGAAAAGCAGCATTTCCTGCAATGTGATCAGGACGTTTTGTGAAATGTCAAAGCTTAATGAAAGAACGACAGAATGCATTCCCCTCTCTGCATAAACCGATGGCTTATTTCTTTGCTTTCGAGAGACGCGTCACTCTGCTAAAGGTTAAAGGGAAGATATTCTAATCAGGGACTCTTTACAGAGCAGCAGCTCAATAAGGTCAACTGGTGTCACAACACTCAGGTTGGAGGGAGGAATGTGTGTACAATTGTGTGCATGTGTGATGGTTACTTTGCAGTAATCCTCTTTCAAATGTTTTGTGGCTCTAACAATGTTTATTTTTCTATTGTTTTTTTCTTTTTGCTTGTTTCTTGCCCATAAAAACACATCACTGCATCCTGACAAACACACACACACACGAGTAACATGTAAAGCGCTGGTGTCTGACGGGTGATCCGCCGGCCAATCGGCTGTATTGATTATTGGGCCAGGGGAGGTTGGTGGAGCGGCAGCAGTAATTAGGGCTTTTTGGTGTGGATTAGCTGAGAGAAAAGGTCACCCGCTCAACATCAGTGGCAGGACCACAAGCAGGGACAGGGACGGGTGGACGTGACGAGGGGACTGTCCCCAAACGTGACAGGGCGTGATTGGCAGGGTCATCTAAGTCATGTATGTGAGCACATGCAGAAATTGACAAAGGATAATTCAATTGTACAACAACTGGACCTATTTTGTAGTTTCCTACTTCATTTCTTTACTGGTTATGATATCACTGTACTCACAAAAGTAATAAGAAGAACTGGGTACACGGTGAAATCTGACTGGGAAAGAAACTTGATCGTTCAGACAGGTTGCAAACAAGCCCGCAGTGTAGACACCTTTATTTGGAGGAAAAATCTACAATCTAAGTATTCATCTACTTTGTAAAGGAAACTAAAGGAACTGCAGAAAGTAACGTTTGTTGAAGTTAGACCAAGAGTTTAGTCAACAGGCAATTTGGATGAGTAAAAACTAGGAGTAATAAGGCTTCCTACTTTGAGAATGAACGGTTTAATCAAATGCCTGACTTCCTTTAAGCAATGCTGGCATGTTCCCATAACCTAGCAATTAACTTAACAACTTTAGTGTTGTCTTAACCTGTGTAACCGATTGCCAAGCCAAGAAAAAGGAGATCCAAGTTGTAAAGAAAACAGCATTGTCCTTTAACATGTGCAGAATCTACATGTAAAGTATGTACGTTTATAATCAGACCATGCAACTATTTGAATATGAATCACTATAAGGGCATTAACATTGACATTCTCTCTCAATCTCTACCAACCTGCAGGTTGACTTCTCAGTGGTATGACAGGTCTGAGTGTATCTTACAGGGTCACGACCCTCCCAGGCTGTGACCTGGACAAACAGGACCGAGAAGCAAGAGGACATGGAATGTCCCTTTTGTTTTGGTTAACAATTTTTGCTGAAAAGGTGGAAATGTCCTCCCTTTGCACTTGCAGGAGCAAAAGAAAAAAAATTCTTGGCAACCTGAGTTAGAGTTTACGTAACATTTGTATTGTGGCTTTTACAGAAATTATAAAAGCTCAGGCAGCTCTGTGTTTTACCTGGGGATGCATTATTCTTCTTTTCTAAGCCACTGAAAAAATGATTTATTTTAAGAACGCCGCTTTTTCTTTGTGAACACATTTTTGGTGTTAGCACAGCCACTTGTCTGTATTTTTAGTATGTCCCATATTATATATGTTTCATGCGCCTGTAACCATCTGGAACCAATTGTTTCTTAATAAAAAAGCCAATGTGAATGATTAAGAAGGTGTCTGCGTGTCTGCATTTACTGGGTGTCAGCTCCCCTTCTTCTGCTCCACAGCAGCTTAGTGTGAGGCAGCAGCAGCTGTGGCAGATTTGGGCAGCACTGTTTTTTTGCAAAGCTGCAGCACTCCTAGTGGTGGAAACACAGAAAAGGTGCAACATTATTGCAAAACCAACCAGACAGGAGAAGACAAGTGCTGATTGAGAAAGCTTGTGTGCAGGAGTATTGCTTTGTATTGCATTGCCTTGTTATTGTGTGTTGTGATTTAGCAGTGGCAGTGACTCGTGTATGTGTGATGATGGTGGTTGAAGAGGCATGCATACGTGACTTTTCTGTGTCTCATCACACAACAATACTGTGTGTGATCCCTTATGTGTGTATGTGAAGACTATATTTGGCACTGAGTGTTCATTGTCACATCCGGGCTTTTCTATGTATGTAGTGTGCACGATTTGTAAATGTCAGTGGAAATGGCGTGCCACAAAAAGATTCTGAAGAAGTGTTTTGTTGTGTGAAAATAAAGGACATACATAACTGTGATGCGAGTCGGAAACAAAAGCGCGAGGGCCAAACAAACCTTGAATCCTCCAAAACAGACTGCCTTTGCCTTTCAGGTAAAGACAGTGAATGTTGCAGATCTGTATCTGATGTCAACCTTTGACTCCTTTCTGAATATTTGACACAAGAAGACACTTTGAAATGTATACAGTGACTTGTAAAGGTGAATAGGAACATACAGCAATAAGAAAGGTGATGCAGGTACATTGTAATCTACAAAGTCTATTAAGAATTGCCCTTATCGCAAAACCAAATCTTCCCTGTTATACAAGTATTTGTCACAGATTGTATTTTATTATGGGGACAAAGGCATGCATCCTTAATTTGTCTGATTAGTTAATATGGAGCTAACAGTACACTATAGTTTTGGGATATGCAAGAAAAAGCAAGGGGCTCTCCACACTTTGCATTATAGAGTTCACTAGCGGGTCAAAAGTGTCACCACATACATCACAGCTGTAGCAGAACGGCACACACCCGTTGCTATGGTGATCTGCCATTTTTTTCCCCCCACTTTGCTAAGCCAAACAGTGGTGGGTGGGTGCCGAGATACTGGGGTAAAAACAATGAGGATTGTGTGCCTGGTCTTATGTATGTTTCAGAGTGTTTGTATGCATTGTGTGTTTATTTGGTCAGGCGTATTTTGGTTAATGCTAAAGAGACCCATGCGTACCTTCCTTGTTTGGTCTGACTATCTGTGGTCTCAGCTGTACTCGCCAGGAACGCCGTGCAACAATAGCTAAGGTGCCTGCGGAGGGAGCTGCACAGCGTGATAAAACTGGCAAAATGAGGGTGTCAGAAGCTCCATTGAACATAATCAGGCTGTGGTAGATGGGCTCGGCTATTGGGTTAGGGACCATAAGTCTGCCGATTAAACATGCATGGGGAGAATTCTTCATCACGCTGGCGAAACAAAGCCGCCCTGCCCTTCCCACGTGTTCGTACATCGCCATGGAAAAAGCCTGTTTCCCTGGCAACCGAACTGGCTCCCTTTGTCACAGGAATGGGGAAAGAGGCGGAGGAGGGAGTGGAGGAAGGGGGAGTCGAGTGGAGGCATGACACTCCAGGCTGACCTCCACCTGACCTCTAGGTGAACATGCAGTATTGGGTTCCTGCTTTCCTGGTGTGAGATTGGTCATTTTTTGTCCCAACTAGTCCTGCCACATTCAATTTCGCAGTTTTTAACACACTTATAATGTTTCCGTACAAGATCATATGCATTTGTATACAGTAAAGAGAACGAGCAGATGTTCTAAGACAGCATGAGGAAGGACATTTACATTGGACGTCATTACTCCACGCTGACAGACAGTGCTGCTTTAATGCTTTTCAAAAAAGCCGACATCTTTTCTTCTACTGCCCCCAGTGGCGCATTGTACGCCCAGTGAAGGTGAAACAAAAAGCATAAAAAGGGCTGCGTGAAAGAGAAATGACTGAAGGCGAGGAAATGGAGGATGCAGTTCAGAAAGCGTAGTGGTGAGAAAAAGACAATGGCTTGTTAATACAGCGGTCGGCGAAAAAGAGAGACAAAGTGAGGCGCCGTCTTTATGTCGACCCGCGGCTGCTTCCATAGCAAAGGCTGGTGCTCTAGCTGTAATGTTAACCTAGTGTTTCCCTAATGGGCTTAATGACATATGGAGCACAGATTGCAGCAGGAGCCGGCTCACTTTGAAACCACTGTCGCCTCCCTCAGGGCTCGGAGAACACTGCATTAGGAAGACTTCGTGACTGAAGACACAGGTCAAGTCTGGTGAACTATAATGGTTAAGGGAGATAACTGAGAGGATCTTTACATGACCTTAAACATCTCTACATCTCATTATGAGCGGCTCTCAACAGGTGTATTTCTTCTCTTTTTCAATTCCAAAAACATAAATTCCCTGCGATCATTTTCTAAGACACCACAGGATGATATACTTTCTTTTGTAAATTCTCGCCACTGGCCTGTATGACATCTCCCTAAGCATCTCTCCGCGGCATATCACCCGCCATTTTGTTCCAATTTGTTCCCATCACCGATATCTCTTACTTCTCTCAGCTCCTTTAGTCCGTCCACATCTCACTTGTCGTCTGGCCGTCATCTTCTGGTGGACTGTTACTGATGATATCGGATTGCCGTTGGCTTCACGCCACTGGAAAGTGGAGCTAATGGGCTTTCAAATGCTTTATTGTGAATGCAACCTGTCAAGAGAGGAGAGATAGGATCAGATTTGATTAGGGAACGACAGAGGCAGAATAAAGTGTATTTAAAAAGAGAGGGAATATTGTCTCGCGGCATGTATGTATGCATGTGAAAGAAAGAAAAAGGGAAACTAAATGAGTCTAATAAGCCAAATATACTACCTTTTTAAATTGTATTAGATCATTCTTATCTCTGCAAGTGTTTTTCATCCTTGCTCCCATTTGCCTTTTCTCTTCAGTTTCTCTTCTACATATGCATCCCTCCCCAGCAAAGCAGAGTAACACTGCCTCTCTTGGCTGGATGTGGTAAATGTGTTCCTCTCTGGCAGATGAATGATGTCAAACAGACATATTTATATTCATTTAGGACTGAGGAGGAGGAGAACCCATCTGTAACGGATGTGATAGAAACCGCTGCGTGTGAGTGTGCGTGCATTTAGGTGTGTGTGTGTACGCTTGTGTGTGTGTGTGTGTGTGTAGGCACACGCGTGTTTGAGCATGTGTTCCAAGGTATCCATCGTTTGTGATAAATGAATCATGCTTTTGTGTGAGCTGATACCGTGTTTGTGGATTTGTGTGTGTATAGGGTTGTGTGCGTTCGTGTGTGTGTGTTTGTGTTAACGTGTGTGTATCTGCGCGCAGGCGAGGTCATTCCCCGGTCACTCGTTCAGGCTGTGTGATGAATGAAGAGGAGAGGTGCCTGCAAAGCCGGAGAGATTTGGGAGAAACATTGTTCCACAGGGTTAAAAATGGTCTTGTGTTGTGCCAGAGGCTGAGGGAATGTTACCAAAATAATGTAAGGCTGCAACTCAAGCGGATGTTCATCATATTCCGTGTTGAAAATCAACCTCGGCAAAGTAATAAACTCATAAAATATTAACATTAGCCATTCGATTGTGCAGATTTGCTCAGTGAGAGATTTTCCAATTAAACGAAGAATCCAAAATGTGCTCCCTCTCTATGTCCATTATCTTTTTTCCTACAGGAGAAGTGAGGGTGGAAGTGGCTCTGTTTGGTTTGGACGGCAGGCCGGTGGGGTCAAAGACATTTGACTCAACCAGGAAGTATCATGTTGCAATAGACAGGAAGTCTGTGTCTCAAACAGGAAGGACTTTACGCAGAGGAGGCTACTGAAAGCCAGCAGCATTCACAGCCATCAGTGTCTGTCAGCACGGGACAGAAAATAGAATGTGTGTGTGTGTGTGTGTGTGTGTGTGTGTGTGTGTGTGTGTGTGTGTGTGTGTGTGTGTGTGTGTGTGTGTGTGTGTGTGTGTGTGTGTGTAGATTATGTTTTACCTTATATCTATATCTACATATTGATGTATGTTTTAACATTATAACTATACTTAAAACCTGGATTTCGTCTAATTTCAAATGATTAAAATGTGTTATCAAATCTTTACCAAAAAAAAAGCCAATTCAAATCGAGGGGTGTAAAGTAACTAAGTTAATTTAAGTACTGTACTTAAGTAGAATTTTGAAGTACTTGTACTTTACATTAGTATCTCAATTTACTGTCACTTTGTACTTTTATCCCACTACTGTTCAGAGGTAAATATTGTATTTCTACTCCACTACATGTATTTAATATCTTTAGTTACTTTGCACATATAGATTAATGATATAAAACATAATCAAGACTTAAATAATACTTTATCCCCCGGACTAAATTCACAAACTACCCAGCAGTAAATAAAATACAAAAAATTAGTTCCACCTTTACCAGCTCTGACAAACATATTAATAATCAAAACATATGATATAAATCATTTTGAAAGGGGCCGATCTGCATATTGACTACTTTACTTTTGGTACTTTAAGTATATATTAATGCTAGTACTTTTACTTGAGTAAGATTTTGAACCTACTCTCTGGTAGTTCTACTTTTACTTCAGTACAAGATGTGAGTACTTCTTCCATCTCTGCTCAAATAACCTTTTAGAATGTTGGTGTCTCAGGCAAGGTGTGCAACAGAGCAATCATTTGTCTGGATGTCGGCCTGATAGAGGTCAGCTCTGATCTGAGGATCTGCTGAGGATGATTTGTGTGTATGCGTGCGTACATCCAGTGTGTCTGCTTGGGACAATGTGGTCAGGCAGAAGTGCATTGTGGGATCGATGTCCACACCTCGTCCTAAATTATTCATCCTGTCAGCTGGCCTGTCCACCATCGCCGTGGAAACCGCTGACCAAGAGCTTTACCCTCATCCCCACGGATTCACCTCTTCATCCCCTC